ATAAGTAATAGAAAAAAAAAGAAAAGATGATAATTCGAATAAAACTGAATTTCGGTTCAAGTGAACCGAAGATTTTACAAACATCAAGTTTCATTACACAGAGAGGGATTTGTAACAAACATATTCACTAAGAGTGAATAAAGAACGTGTAGCTAATTTCTGATTTTACTCAACTACTTATTAGTTTCATTCAGTGTACCTTTTTACAGACTGCATTTCAGTATGAAGCACTCATATATGTATATAAGTATCAATTAATTGTCATGTTGTAATAACTCTAAGCGGATAATGAAAACATTATTTTTAACGTTCAGGGAATATATAACAATGAACATTTTAATTAAGAAAATATCACTTAAATGGTATTTCGAAATAGATCGATAAGTAAAGCCTAAAAAGTCATTGAAATTGTTCATTTTGCGATGATGGGTAGATTATTTCTCTCAATTTTAGGTCCTCTTTGTTATATAAGTCTTCTAAGTTGAGAGTGGAACTGGATTTAATAAAGTAGTAAAAAATTATTATAAGATATTACTTAATTTTCTTTTAAAATGAGTGTATTATATAAAATGTAGCCCCTATATGTATATCTGCACTGAACGACGACGACAAAAAATAACTTGAACGGCTCTTGATTAACAGAAAAAATTGACTAACCATTGAAAATAAACTAGATTTCTATCATTCAAAATTTCTTTTACCCTGAGAACGAAAATGCTCATGTCCTTAAGATCATTTCTACTACAATTTTCTAGTTTGTTTATAGAACTATCAATGACATTATAAGCATCTCTTCAATAAAGAATTTTAGGAGAATATTCTTAGAAAAAAATAATAGTTTTGAAACTTTTTTCTCCTTGATTTTTAATCGGTTCAGCTCTGTTTAAAACTTTTTCGGTTCAGTTCTAAAAAAAGAAGAACCGATCCCACCACTGATACATATCTGATATATTATTATTTAGATAGCTTGTAACTAGCATTTCGATTGTTTTGCATTCTTTTCTTTTATAATCAACAATGACAAAATTTTTTTCCTGGGTCAGGATCAATAGTGTAATTGTAAATGGTTTTCCAACTGTCTAAGGCTGACTAAATAATACTTAATTATTTTGATCAAAAGAAGTTGAATCTGATTAACTAGCCCTGAATGGGTGAAACACAATGTCTGATCTTTGGTATTTTTTGTTAATAAGAATATGCAAAACATTTGACATTCCTTCTATGTTTTTGGTTTACTTTTAAGAAAATTTACAATTTAGATTGTTTAGCTTTCCAATGAAAATTTACGGAAGAGACACCTGTTATTTATCAATCAAAAGCATCGATTAGCTACTTATGTTAATCCGTTAAACAATTTGAAGAACAGCATATTTATCTTTCTAACTCATGGTTATGCACATGATTTTTAAGCAAAAAGACTAATCGTTTGAATCTGAGGTACCCTTTACATGAGTACCAAGGCTAGAACGCAATATTCAGTGAATGGAGATAAATTTAATAAGGAGTTGAGTTTTCACTGAGTGCTTTTGAGCAATTCTTTTTTCAATGAAATGTTTTAGACTTGTTGAAATGTAGTAATGCATTGTCAATTAATATAATGTTCAAGCTTCTGCATATCATACCTTGAAGAAATATTAATTTCAGATAACAAAAGTTTTTCTGCAGTTCTGTTGATTTTTTAGAGGAAATGTGAAGATAAAATAGATTGGTTTAAAATTTTATTGGCTTCTCTAGCATATTGAGCTTGTGCCGTCCTTGAATTGATTGCATATTCATGTGAAAAAAGTTGCTCAGAAAAAATATTGATAAGAAAAATTGTGTCTCATTTGCACCCAAAATTTTGAATTGTTCAGGTATATTGGGCGTTTTTTGTTAGAAATGACGTTTTAACGACTTTTATGCATTAATTTAACGGAATTGAGCAGAAAAACGCATAAAAAAAGTGGAAAAAAATGGAAATGTTGAAAAATTCGACGAAAACACGATTTTTTTGTGCGTTTTTTGAAATAAACGAAAAACACGCACAAAGGAGTTGGCGCCTTTTCCATAGGCTATACCCCTCCGCTTATTTTTTGTTCGTTTTATGATTTTCTTGTTGGGACTGGTGTGCTGATATGAAAGCACTATACCATACGATGAACTTCCTTAGTCTCAGTAAGGAACAAAATAAGGGTTATCTCTATGGAAAGTAGGGGCAAATGAATAGTATTTCGAAGTTTCAATTATTGAAAGTGGATGTATATGCAAGATAAGCTCTATATTCAGAATCTGCATTGACAAATACACTAAAAACTCTATTAGCAATTGTAAAATATCTATCATCCAAGTTTTGTCCTTGGAAGACTAGAGAGAAATGTTTAAAGAATAAAAAACTTGGAGCACTAGCGCTAAATCTTGGATGATAGATATTTTACAATTGCTAATAGAGCTTTTAGTGTATTTTTTAATGCAGATTCAGGATATAGGGCTTATCTTGCATGTACATCCAGTTTCGATAATTGAAACTTTGAAATATTAGTCATTTACCCCTTACTTTTCATAGAGATGACCCTTATTTTGTTCCTTACTGAGAATAAGAAAGTTCATCGTATGGTATAGTGCTTTGATATCAGCACATCAGCGCCAACAAAAAAATCGTAAAACGAACAAAAAATAAGCGGGGTGGTATAAGCGCCAACTCCTTTAATGTGCCTCTCCATTTGTCATTAACGGATATATATATTCCCTCGACTGTAGAGAGGGTCATATGGAAAAAAGAGTTTGTGTTTGTGCGTTTGTGGGTTTGTGGCAGGGTCAAAAAAAAACATCGAAGCTATTTCTATAAACGTTGACCGAAGTAAATCGAGATCGAGGAATCCGAATCTGAAGTCAGATTTTCAAAATTTTGATTGAATTCTTAGGGTCCAGGAAAGAGTTTTTTGAGAAAATAATAATATTTCCTCAGGTGTAGGAAGACTTATATGAAATAAAATAAATTTAAGTCTATTATTGTCAAAATAAACGATGAAACGTTATTAAAAAACCTTGGCTAAGTGTTCGGTGTTCGGGCTTGTAATATTGGGCTTTTCACCAATTCTATTTTTCAAACTGAAAATTCAGTTAATCCGACGTATGCGATAAGTTCTTTCTCAATGAGCTGTTTTATAACTAGATTTCCACGGATGAGACTTGTTTGTAGCTGAGTTTCTAACTGGTGATATTTTGTATAGCGCAACTTGCGTCAGTAAAACCTTTACGATCTAGATTTGAGAAAAACATGAATTCGTTGCTTGTATCGAAAGAGGTGTAGCTATTTTGGCGATACCGGCAGGCATTATAATATATCCTCATTAAAATTTTCGTCTAATAGTACAGACAGAAGGACATGGTGGTGACATATTCAACAGTTTTATTTTAAGGTAACATTTATATTCCCTCGACTTTAGGGAGGGTCATATGAAAAAATGGGTTGTGTGTGTGTTTGTATGTCTCTGGCGAGATCAAAAGAATATCAGGGTAAAAAAAATTCATTTAAAGTTCTTTTCTATAAAAGTTGTGAGCGTGGACGAAAGTAAATCAAGGTCGAAGAATCCGAATCTGAAGTTAGTTTCTCAAAGTTTTGAATTGAATCTTTTCCGTTCAGGAGAAAAGGTTTTTTGAGAAAATAATTTTTTCTCGAGTGTAGGAAAGGTTATATGAAGTAAAATACATTTTCGTCTGTTTTTGTCAGAGTGAAAGGTGAAATGTCATAAAAAACTTTGGCTAAATGTTCGATTCTCGTGCTTTTTAGGTTCAACTTCCAACCGATTCGATTTTTCAGACTGAAAATTCAGTCAATTCGACATATGATAAATTCTCCCTTAATCAGCTATGTCATAACTGGGTGTCCAAGGATGAGGCTTGCATACTTCTGTCTAATACAGTCGAGGGTCAACTGAGTCGAGCCGACGAACGTTACTTGTAAATAATGATGCATGAAATTGATTTTGGAATGGAAAATTAGATGACGATGCTAAAGAAGCAGCAAGACGAAAAGATAGTGAAGTAGGGCAGATATATCATTATTACTTTCATTTGCTACCATTCCTGTTTCACGTAATTTTGGATTTGAAGATGAAGATAAAGTTGATCGAGCACCAGGGATGTGGCAACCACAGGGTGCGGGGTGGTGCATACCACCCCAAATTTTGAAAATTTTCGCTATTTCCCAGCAAAAATTTGTCTTTTTATTTAAAAAAATATCGTTAGATGGAAAAATGAGGTTTTGCACCATCTCAACTGTTTAAAATGTTGTAAATATATCCTCTGACGTTCAAAAATTTCCTGAGTACACCCTGAAGTCTTGAAAAAATTTCTTTTACACCACCCTATTTTTTTCTCTTCGCTACATCCCTGTCGAGCCTCTTCGGATTCACTTTGATCTTGAATAGATGAGTATGTACGAGCTGGTAATATTTTTGTACAACAGTCAGTAAAGTATCATCAAGTAAAATTGTTAATGATGCTGACTTTCTGATCAAGATATGAAAACAATTAATGAATATTATCGTTGGAAATATAAATACACAAAAATGTAATGATGGCTTTCCTGAAGTAGAAAATCGTATGATTTGGGCAAATCTCGACATTATCATATCGGATAGCCAGTGTTTACTAATTCAAATAATGGAGGTCTTACTTCTGTGCTACTTTATCAATAGTAAAGACATTTTATTGTTACAATAGCGTTCCACCAATAGACGAAGTTGTTCAATCTCTCTGTTCGCGATATTGTTCCGTCTTTATCACGATGCAATAAAAGTGCAGGTGACAATGAAATAAATCAGAGGACAGAAACAGTTCTTATCGAAATTTTTTTATTATGATATTAATTGAAGAGTGATAAAATAAAAAAAAACGAGACTATCATTTTCAACATCACTACATAAAAAAGAGAATTTCTTCAAATGTTCTACATGAAAAAAAGGTAATGATTACACTACTATTGGACTACTCTAAATAATTCAAGCAATTGTTTTTCTTTATACTAAAGCTTCAATTAATTCTGCAACTTTTGATCTATTGTCTGTTTCTTTCATTTTTTTGGACATTATTTTCAATTTTTCTGTTAATTCTTTATCAACCAATAATTTTTCAATTGCATTCAATAGCTCTTCTTCAGAACAATAATAAGAATCCAATCGAATACCATATCCTTTTTCTTGCAAACGTTGTGCATTATCAAATTGATCATAAAAAAGTGGTAAAATAATTGATGGTTTACCAAAATAAAGAGTTTCATTGATTGTACTATTACCACCATGAGTAATTACTAAGTCCACTATAGGTAAAATTTTTATTTGTGGAACCACTTTTTCACCCCACATATTATCAGGCAATGAATATTCATCCCCTAGTGGACCTTTTGAGATAATAAACCGATGAGGAGATTTTCCTAAAATTTCTATTAACCGTTTCATTAATAATAAATCTGCAGAACCAATTGTACCCATTGACATATAGATTAATTTTCCTGGTTTATTGGTTAAATTTTCTGATAATTGAAATTCATCCTTTGATTCTGATGTTCTTACTGATGCATTACATCTAAACCATTTGAGTGGACTTGGTCGTAAATCAGTATAATCTATTTCTTCTGGATACAAATAAAGATTTAGATAAGGTGATGGATTTTGAAAAAATGGCCACATTTGTTTAGTCAATGGTGGTGCACTTTGTTCTATTAACCATTGATTAAATTCTTCCCATAATGGTTCATAAATTCTTTTAACTTCTTTTCTAAATCTATCCCATTGATTATGATCACTATCAGTTGGATAACCTGAATTACGAGGTGGACAATTTTCTTCATTGAGACCTAATGGATTAGGTGAGAATAACCAAATCCATGGTACTCCTGCTGTTACTAATGATGGTTGACAAACATAATGATCAAAAATAATAATATCAGGTTTTACTTTCTTTACTAAATCAAGAAGAAGCGGATCGCCATTTTTAGCCATATTTACAAAATTACATTGAGCATAATTGTGAAAAATTTCTAATTGATCATAAGAATTTTTTCGTAACTCATTACCAAAAGTTTTAACTATATTTGTAAATATTTCTGATGGTTTTGTTTCTTCACCATACAAAATTTCCTCAAAACCATAAGGCAATAATTTTCCTTTCCAACCTGGTGCTACTCCAAAGACAATTCGATGTCCACGCTTTTTAAGTGCTTCAGCTATTCCAATACAAGCATGAACATGACCAAATCCATCAATTGGTGTAAAAAGAATGGTTAATTGTTTTTTTGGTGATGATGATGATGAAGACATTTTTTTCTTGTATTTGTCACCGTTATCTAAAAATATATCCTCATATTATAGTACTCTGAAAAATATTCGATACCATTATATCTTAAGAATAATAAAGACTAGATAGTTACTATGTAGTGTGAGGGTGTAGGTGTGGGTACGGGCTGTAGGTATGGCTGTGTGAGTATAGATGTGGATGTGTGGGTGGGGTTTCGATGTAGGGTGTGAGTGTGCGTGTGGATGATAGAAAAGTCATATCCACACTCTTTCAAGTGAATTTCATAGTATTTTGAGGAATCCATAGGAATCCGAGCGAATTTTGAGGAATCCTTTGAATTCTAAAGAATTATGGGGAATACTTGGGTGTTGTAGAAATTCAAGACCTAGGATTTCGTGATTTTCTCTTTGAATAGACTAAAATAAGAGTTGGTACCAATAGAAACTCAATAATCTGTATGAATTCAACATTTTATGTTTTCGTAAATCTAAAGTAAGAGATTGCTTCTCGAAAGAACTAGTGACTTGAACCCATCCAATCAAGAGGAAAAATCTCATTCAGACAGTCTGAGCCATTGGGAGTCATTCACGCATTCACAGCTATTCTGCGTAGGGGTGTACGGCTCACATTCATGAACGTGAACATCTTGTCTTTAACCTTAATATGCAACTACTCAGAATTATAAATTACATTAAATTTTTGTAGTTCTCTGCGATAATTCAAATAAGAAATGTATTCCATCTTTCACAACATATTCACTAATTTTCGAAGAGTATTAGGATACCATTGATAACATTCTGACGGCTACTTGTTGGTACCATTAGTAACTTTCAAGAAGCTATCCCGGGTAACTGTTAGTAACTTCCAGAAAACTATTTGGAGGCATCATTGGTAACGTTGCAGACACTATCCGGAGGTACCATCAGTACCTTTCTGGGATTATTTAGGAATATCATGAGTAATTTGCTGGAGCTACTTGGAGATATCATTATTAAAGTTCCACAGGCTATGTCGGAGTGCTGTTACTTACTTTCCAGAAGTTATTTAGGAGTACCATTCGTAACTTTGTGAGTGCTACTTGGGATATGATTATATAAGTTCCAAGGATCATATTGGGGTTCTATTAGTAAATTCTTGAGGACCATTTTGAAGTTTTACTACTAACTTATCAAAGATTATTTGATACTCTGAAAATGTTGCTGTGAGTACTATAAACCCCAGAGAAAATGACTAAAAATACCTCAAAACATCCCCTAAGAAGTCGCTAAAGCTACCCCGGAATAGACTTCAAAGGGCTGACTAATGGTACTCTCAAACAGTCCCAAGAAATTTTGCTCACAATTTCTTCAAATACGTAGTTGGGAGAAAGTTAATAAGCGTATGCCAAGATAATGCCTGAACCGTTACGGGCGATAACTCTAAGTAGCCCCTAGGAAATTACTAATAGTAATCTGACATATTCTTGAATCAGAATTGAAGAAGAAACGTTCACGATGAGCGTGAGCGTGAGCTGTACGCCCTTCATGCTAATCGATGGGTGAATCATATATATATACATGATATCAAGAGTGTGTGGGTGTGGATGTGGATGTGGAGTTTGCCACTTCTCTTTCTGAACACATACACTCACAACATTCTTACAATAATAATAGCATCTCGTAAATGAACAAGTACATTAGTGAATGTCCACGAATAAGATCTTCAAAACACTCTGATACAACGTCCTCATCACTTTTGAAACAAAAATGCTTTCGTTCACCTGTAACCGCCGAGCATCGATCAAAATAAGAGACGAAAAAAGAAAGAAAAGAAAACTTTCTTATAGTATGGTTTTGTACAAATGTCAGACCATACTCGATGGTTAATAATCAAAGACTTCAACTTTTTGTTCAACAATGTATTTCTTTGGGTATTGCATAACCTATTCTTAAATATTTTTTTTTCCATTCTCCTATTTTACTCTACAGAGACAAACTATGAAAAATTCATGTAGATAGCGTATTTTTTGATGATAATACTATTTCGCCTCACGTCGAAATAGTAGCGAATCAATATAGATCTGAATTTCGACAAAAACGCATTGAACCATTGTCACTGCATTATTTACTCGTATCTCATTTTGTATATTTATTTTTGCACTTATCTATATGTATGAAATGTACTTAACTTGATCAAAAAATAATAACCTAGATAGTGATTATTGTGGTTGGTCGAAGAATTTCCCTAAAAAAAAACCATTTTTATAATAGACTGTAGGGGAGGCGAGGCGAGGCAGCAATGGATAACTTGTAAGTATTGCGAGGCGACGATAAGTCGCATTTTTGGTTGATTCGCCAAACTTTGCTATGGAGCTACTACTCTCGGATATAGTTAAAGGAAAAAAAATTAAAGGGACAGTCAACAGATATATACGAATATGATTAAGTTTCTAAAACGGTCAAAGAACTGTAGACGAGTCATAAAGCAAGGTTTCACACACCAATCGGCAGGCTGTTCTCAACCAGCATTAACAAAGTATTGACAGTCACTAATTGTTCATATAGGCAAAACAACTAACATGATTGATAAGAAACTTTCTTACTCTCATATTTCTGGTATATTTCAGTGATACTTTTCTTTGGCTTTCCATAAAAATGTATGATTAAAAGATTTTGAAAGTAAAAGAGAACTGCTATGTATTGTTCGTCGCATTTTTCCGCTCACATATTGGAAAAAACATATCAACAATGAATTTATCTTGTTGTAAATTATTTTTAACTTGATACTTCTCATTACTTGATAATAACAGCCGAGTCAAGTGACATCTATATTGACAACTAAATTTTTCATTGATTCACATGCTATAAAGTTTTTGAACAATTCTAGGAAGTTCCTTCTGACGCTACATATGTGATCCCCAATTGGTTTTCAAATGGCGTCATGTGATAGAAATTTTTACGCTGATCATTTCGATTACCAAAACGTCTGTCATTGATCGTACAATTCGAGAAAAATTCACAAAATAAGAAACTATGCATTTTTGATTATTTTTTCCGACTTCAAATGCAATTATTTTATGTATTTTGGCAAATATGAATTCAGATACTTTCTTAATTAAAATGTCAACTGCAGATTCATATGTAACACTGGAAAATCTTCCAAGTCACCCACTTTCCAAGGCAAATTTTAATTATTTTTACTGGAATCTCATCAGCTACTCTTTTCCGCCCAATAGCTAAAGCATGCGAAAATATTTGCTGATCTTCTTATTCAAAAATGAAATTCATGCAGAAAGTCCGATATTCAGATTGATAAAAGATCTTTTGCTCTATGGACCCATATAAATAACTTTTATGTATATCTCATTTCCTATGAAAATACGAAGAAAAACAAAAAAATGTTGCTGTTTCTATAGTTTCAGTACTAGAGATTTTACATTGTTCAACTATTTGCTCTTAAATTTTACGATCAACAGTAAAAATCAGCATTAAAAACTACATTAAATGAGGTATCTTGCGTCAGATAAACAGATATTAATTCTACACTTATGTTGCTCGTGCATAAAACTTTGCTAAAATCAGGTATAGCGTAGTGAAACTTTCTTTCTATACAGTCTTGTAGAAAAAATCTCGATTTTTATATACAATATGATAATACTTGGAATAATATCCGAATGATAGACTTCCAATAAGTGTCTCGTAATTATATATGCTGCTTCTATTAGTACTCGTTTTGAAAATTAGGACTCAATATTTTATAAAATTCGCGTATATTTTCGAAGAAAATAGTAAGTGTAAATTTTAAGATCAAGGCTTTCCGGCTTTCTCTTCCTCATCTCATTAGATACACATAGCAACAGTGAAGAAAACATTAAAGATATACTCCAATTATAGACTCCTCTTCATTGCAGACTTCAGCAACTGCGCACAAAAGGACTTAGTTTCTATAAAATATCCTGATGCACTCATAAATTTAAAAAAAAACGTCCTTTTTAGTTTACAAGAAATGCACTAGGATAACAACTTGGAAGGATATATGTGAGTTCCACATCTCAGCTTCAAAGGAGCTGCAATGACAAGCTTTACTGAAGAACTATTGATAGAAACAAGGTAAAGAAATGCGGTTTTCGCGGTTTGAAAGGGAAGGGATGAGGACGCATCGAATTATATGTTCCAGATTTTTCTGATCTGTTTTTGTAAAATATTCCAACAAACTTTTTAAAGACAAACTTATCTAACAGGTATTGCTCGTCCGTATGACTCGCACGATTACGGGTCTTACAATTCAGCTCTAGCTCCACCTCAAAGAACTGTTCAAACAGCTCTTCTGATATGAGCTGATCTTTTTGAACAGTTCTTTCGAGAGGAGCTCAGCTATTTGAACAGCTCTTTTTCACGAACTGATCTTTTCGAATAGCTCTATTGAAAAGAGTTGATCTGACCAAACAGCTCTCTTTCCTGAACTGGTCTTTTTGAACAGCTCTTTTGAAAAGAGCTGATCTGATCAAACAGCTCTATTTCACGACCTGATGAACCTCAGGCTACCCTATGAGGTTACCTATAGGTCCTCAAGGCCTACCACATGGGGGTACCCATAGGCCCTCAAGGGCTACACTACGAGTGTTCCCATAGGCTTTCAAGGGCTACACTATGGGGGTACCAACAGTTCCTCAAGGCCTATCCTATGGGGGTACCCATAGGTCCTCAAGGGATATCCTATGGGGTACCCATAGGTCCTCAAGGGGTATCCTATGGGGTACCCATAGGTCCTCAAGGGGTATCCTATGGGGTACCCATAGGTCCTCAAGGGCTACACTATCGGGGTACCCATAGGTCCTCAAGGCCTATCCTATGGGAGTACCCAAAGGTCCTCAACGGCTACCCTATGAGGGTACCATAGGTCCTCAAGGGCTACACTATGGGGGTACCCATCGGTTCTCAAGGCCTATCCTATAGGGGTACCCATAGTTCCTCAAGGGTATCCTATGGGCGTACCCATAGGTCCTTAAGGGCTACCCTATGGGGATACCCATAGATCCTTATGC